AAAGTGATATCCAGAATTCCAAGTTAGTTGCAGAGTCGATGTATTCGTTAAGAATCAGCGACGACGACAGTATGAGTCACATATTCAGTGATACACACTTTTATACCTGAAATCATTGAGTTTTAATATGTACTCAAATGTTCTTTAGAATCTGCTTAAGAAACAAATGCGAATACGAGAAATATACTAGAGGCACATCTAGAGTTCTACGCGCAATTCATAACAGACATTTTATTAGTGAAAATCATAGAACTATACATCATGTTACGGTCTGTTTTAGGGTACAATAAGCGTATATTAAAAAACTATACTAACATCATTTTCTGAGGTTCCGCAAACAGCGCACGACTTGCACTCAATGCACTGCCACCCGTACTTCTTTGTTGAAATGATCATATTGGCCGTAAACTGCAGACACGATGGGTGCCCGGCTCGTCCGCAGTCGGTGCACGATACCAGTTCTTCGGGTTGGCAAGTTTTCTTGTTGTGCGACGCATCTCCGAGGCAAAAGTCACAATACTGATTTGCCTCCGGAAGCGAACCTCCTTGACTGCCGTCCATTCGGCTGAGATCACAGTGTAAATTTCGACGAGCCACGTGGTGCAGCGACGCGCCGGGACTGTGACCTGTACCACCGCCCCCGCTAAAGCCCGCAACACTCAGTGTTGGCGTTTCACCGGCGGCAGATGTGTTCAGCGACGGTTCCAACTCTGAATGTTGGTGAGACAAATGGTAATGAAGACCAGGTTTGGTCTTATATCTGATCCCGCAGTCTTAATATAACAAAACGCGTTAGAAACGAGCTACAACACACCAGCCGTATTTCACGGGATGTTAAATAGGTGATTATATTAACTAATGGAAATTGCCATACAGAATCACTGTATTAAATGTCTCAAACGAACAGAAATGCGCATAGGTGATTTCCTGCCTGTTGAGGAACAGTACCATATCATCGATAGGTGGTCTAAAAAAGGACCAAAAGGAACCAAAAACCTTAAAAGCCATCTGTTAGACAAAGGGCACAACAAAGTAGAAAATCAAGAACACAGATGTTGACAAACAAACCAGTCAGGCACGTTAAACTCACAATAGAGCTTAGAAACACCATACTCATTTAAATTATTTCATACTGTTTCGCTGTTCGTAAAAATGGCAATATGAGCGGAAATAATGAAAAAAGAAATTGTTTACCTTTATGTAAATACAGTGGCTTCAGGGGATACACGATCTTTAGAAAGTTTTATTATTTCCTGTCGCTTGTAAACAGCTATGACGATAGCCTGTACGCAGAATGTGAAATTTCGGAATAAATACAAAGACTGTTTCGCGCTCAAAGAAATTATATTATTAGAATCAATACATCGTTAAACGATGGGGGAAACCTAACAACGCTATAGAGTACCTGAGTATAATATTTTCATTTTGGAAAAAACGTATGCAAAAACCACGTAACCTGTTAAGGTAGCTAAAAGAGCTATCGTTGTGGTTCGTTATTAACTGTAGAGACGCGCTTTAACATTTACCTCCTTACTTATCTCGATTGTCTTCTTAGGAACAGCGATGCCACGTCAAACACGAAGAAGGTGCGGCTAAGAACATTTGACCAGAAGATTTGCTGACATGAAGTATACAGATGACAGTATTCTAATGAACAGCAAGAAAAACGATTTTCGTTATCTGAGGGCTTTCTGGTGAAACGCGGCTACGAACGTTGGCCTTTTTCTTAACATCCAGAGATCACAAGCTATGAACAGCTCACCCGACACATTAGATCTGCAAGTAAAACGGTAAAGAAAGTGAATCAGTTAAATAATTTCGTCCTCTCTGTCCTCTCATCGGCATCAACGTGCGCCTCATCCAATTAGAACTAAACAGGAGTACTGCCATAGCCTCGTGTGTTTTAGGCAACCTGTACAATATTTGAGCTCAGAAAGGAGGACACTATGCCACAAAAAGATCTGACTACACCCCACCTCCGTCAAATCAGTGTTGGAGACCGTTGGTATAACGAAGAACCAGCGATGGTTCCGACTGCATAATGAATGTTAACCGAGGGCAGAGCCACGTGAAACAATATTACCTTTCTGCAGAAAGAACTGTTCCTTCTACAAGAGCTAACCGGTATCTTACAGCGAAAGTGCTGAAAAGCTATTATTGGAGTGAACACCATAAACCAGATATGTTCTGCTCATACAAAAGGTTCAAGGTTACGATCTTCACAACAACAACACAAACACCAACAAATGTTGAAACAACGTAAAATTTCAACTGCTTGCGAAAATCAACTTCCGGAAAAAATTCAAATTAATTATGATATGCAACAGGGCTGGAATTTCGCGTTCTTGGTCTTCAAAATCTAACTTTATGCACGTCTATGCCATACCGGGTAAAGACTATCACCGAAAACTGCAACTGACGGACTAAATATCCTTACGAAATACTTTCTTGTAAAAAAGACGAGAACTTTCACTAATGTCTCAGACTGAAAAAACATGGATAAAAGTTCATATGTCATTCATAAATAACAGCATTATTCCACCTTTCCATCTACCAACTAGACAGTCGATGACTTTCGTTTGATAGAAATTTTGCAAACAGACTGCAGGCTCCAACTGAGGGCAATTTACGGAAAAGCCGAAACCAAGTAAGTTAGGAGTACATGGTTATTAACCTGAAATTTAACTCTGCCTTGTATGTAGCATTGATTTTAAGACTTCAATACAATGACAGCGCAGGTTATTTCTTTAGATAGGAGATCGCTGTACCTTAAGCAAATGCAATGTTAAAAGAATACTACTTGTTCTAAATCATGCACAAACTCACTAAGCTAAATTTCTCAAATAGGCAAGGGGCAAATCGCAACATTTCGACTGGGCTTCTTCCGAGACAAAAGTTAAGCACTTCGGTCCGAAAATAAGTTCACCTAATGATTTAATTTGTTCAGGATATGCTTTATGATGCGACCGATAAGTGCACACTGCAACGGAAGTCCTTTGAAGTCAG